TATATATATATATGTATAGTCTATTATCTCGTGACATAAGTGCCATTTGTAACGATAAATCAATACCACGATGACTTGTGCATTGTCGGGCTGAATGGAAAGGGCCGACACGGGCGTGGGTTGGATTGTTGTACTTGGACGTCTACTTTTGGCCCAAAAGTCCTTGGGTATGAATACCCCGGTCTCGGTGCGCGAACTCTCGAGCAAAACTTTGGCGATATAATATGTATATATACATATATATATATACGCACGCGTCGGAGAGTCCGAGTCTCCCTCTTTCTCGCTATACGGCTTATAAATCATTAATTTTGGCTGTACGGACTTAGTTAATAGCTACGCACTTTGCCGAGCTTTCGAACTGTGCGGGCTGGCCCTCGCTCCTCCTGGTCACCAGTGACGCCAATGACTCTCGGCGTTCAAAGAAGCTGCCCCCGCGGACACTCAGGGAGGGCTTTCGATCGGCGTCTTAGCTTGTGGTCCGGTGCCGGCGGCGTCGTCTACGCCGCCTCGTCGGGGGTGTCTCGGGCTGGCGGGCCGAGCCGGAGTCGCTGCTGGCCGCCGCCTCGGGCTGCTACGAGAGGTTGTTCGTGCTCTGGTGCTGGGGGTGGCGCACCTGCTCGTCCGCGACCGGGGCCTCGCGCAGGTGCACGAGCGCCACCTAGCTCAGGGCGCTCGTCTCGTCCACGGAGAGGCTGGTCGGGCCGCTCGTTTGATCGAGGCCCTGCCGCCGGCGAGAGAACACAAAGGATATGGGGTCACTTGGGCAGGGTACAAGTGCTTATACGACTGGTTACAATTTCTCGAGGGTTGAATCACACCTTTGAGGCGAAGATTTTTAGCACGAGGACAACTCCACGGGAATTTAATTTTATCGTTTTGGAAGTTGTTCGGTTTTTCTGATTTGCCGAGAGAAAACAAAATTCCGAAATGGCTCGCAGGTAAACATATTATACATTTATTGGGCCATTAGCGCAAGTGATGGACGTGAAATGGAGGCTGATTGGATAACGATCAAAGTGCGCCACATCGAGCAAGTCGTCCGAGTTATTAATAGAGGGATGGCATACTACAAGTATTCGGTACGCCCCGACCAATCGATCCAACTGCTACACATGTTGAAAAAGTAATTAACGACCGCGTGGGACCAGGCAATGGGTAAAAAAAATCAACTTTGACGCGCCTGTATAATTTTAGTCCCAAAGAGTTGTTATGGGTTAACCAAATGCATACCTGGATGCGCTGCTGTTGCTGCTGGGGCTCGCCGTTGGTGGAGATGTGCTTCGGCCGTGCGGGTAGGCTCTGGCTAGCGCCCGACGACGTGGCCGCGGTCGTAGTCGTCGGTCCGGCGCTCGGGGGTGGCGAGCTACGTGAGCCCGAGGTCACGCTCTGCATCGTCTGGCTGCGGGCGGTCGAGAAGCGGATGCTAAAGTTTTGACGACCAGCCCCCGCCGACTGGCTCTGCTGCTGATGAGAAAAATCAGCGCCCACATTTTTACTGCGCTGCTTTTTATTTCTTTTTACGTAGGTATGGTGCTCGTGCACGTTAGTTGAGAATATATAGTGTATCTTAGCGAAATTGTGTTGGGAAAAAAAAAAAATAATAATAATAAGTTGTTTGGAGATAAAAATAGTCTTATAACAATAGTAAATAATATTTTTCACTGGAAAAGTGCACCATGGAAGAATATATTATTGGAAAACTCATGTTGAAAAAAAAAAAAAAATGAAATTCCGTCGAAACACGCACGAACGGAGTTGCGGGCGAAGCGATACTAAAGCAAATGTGCAGTTTCGGTGTCCGTGTAAGTCAAGGAGTACAACAAAACACACAAGTATAATATGCACACGCGAGTGCATGGACAACGAGATTCCAGCGAAGGATCTGAAAAAAGGGAAGTAAGAGACGAGGGACCAAACCTGCTGGCTGGTTCATCGACACGGCGAAGAGAGCGACGAAAAAATAAAAAGGCGTCCAACAGTGATAGAGAGGCTCGAGCCGTTGCCGTTTCAGAGCAAGAACACGAGTCCAAGGAAATCAATTACTATGTATATCATTATCACCGACAGGAAGAGATCGGACACAGTAGTATATAATTATAGCATTGAGGGTAGAAAAAAGTTGACAGGTGGATTAGACTCGTGTACTCGAATCCATGTTTATTGATAATTGAAGAGCGAACTTGAAAAAAGTAGTTATCTTTGTGATGTACGGTGACATTTTTTACGTGCGCGATAGCACGCGCCAAAAAATTAATTAAAATGATAAATAGGCGCGCTGCGACGCTCGGTCGAGTGTGATGAAAAAAAAAAAAAAAAAAAAATCGTTAGCCTAGTGGAAGAATAAATAACAATCGTTCGGCATTCAAGGAGTAAAGAAACAGATCCTCGTGTGCACTCTACATGCTAAATATAAAATGGTATATCTATCGGATGAAATAATGGTGTACGTACATCCAAGGGCTTACGTAAGAGAGTACCTGCAGATGGTTTTTTTTTTTTTTTTTTTTTTTATTCACTCCCGTCCGTATAATCACAAGTCACACTTTTTCTTGCCACCGATGCGAGAACGAGTTGTGCGCGACGAGCGCGGGTAATTTCGAGAAAGAAAAACCAAAACCCTAGTAAAAAGAGTTCATGATTAATACGNTAATAATAAAAAAACGATGGACCATTAGGATTGTTTCTGGCATGTGGATATTCGTTTTATATTCTTACTTTTTTAGACATCAGATGTATAACGTTTCCACTCGTACATTATTCACCCTATGTACTCTGCGGAGTACGTATACGAAAATACACCCCACTGTTGCATTTATTTTAGCTCCGTTATTTATACACCCAGCGCGTAGTGCGTCAATTATTCATCCATATGACAATGAGTTTGTTATTACAAGCAATTTAAACTACAAATGACCAAGTTTATTATTATTATTATCATCATCATCGTTTTCGTTAATGATAGTTTCCAAAGAGTACCGAAACTTAAAAATGATAATGACCTTGAATTAAATTTTCCACGTGTATTTCATTTGGGACTTTGATGAAATTTAATTTTCGTCATCGGGAACCCGGCGAATTTAGCGAGTGGAAATTGCTTTTCCCTCGTAAAATTCCATCAGACGAGCGATCGCCGCATTTGAATGAATTTGTTATTTCAACGCTAATTTGCTTGTACGTTGACAATAGTTACCTGCTCAATTATCAAAACTTTTCGATCGATATCAATGACTTCTCGTTGTATTTTATGTATACCAATAAGGCAAGCGAACGTTTTAATTAAATTTGAAGTTTGTTGTTGGTAGGTATTTGTAAAAAAAGGTTTGTTCGATATTAATTATGAAGAGCGAGAGAAAGTCATGTTTGGCTTTGAAAATCAAACAGTTCTGTAGAGTGTGAGATTCAATTTCCAAGCGTGTACCTGTACCAAAAGCAGGTGAAGAGCAATCAAAAGTGTAACAGGTGTTGGAGGGTAGCTCGAATGTTTCTATACACCAAAGTACAAATATATGTGTGCAAGTCGCACAGGTGGGTACGGATGGAAAAACGATTCTAAAATTGAACTTGTTTAAGGCAGATTCGCAAAAAATACTCATAGATGCAATATTATCCTTTGAGCGAGTTCCATTCCACCAATAGTTTTTTTCCCGCTTGGTTAACCCCTCCACCCCGCGTATATTCACATTTTATCCTCGCGGAGTAAAAATTTCAGCTTCCGACAACATAATACCAACTTACGAGGGTACACACGGCGCAGCCAAGTTTTCCAATAACTTTTATTCTCTTGAGCCCGATAAAACGAGATTGAATAACTCGATCCCGATATGACGCGTTTTATTCCCGGGGAAGTGCACGTATGCGCCATCCTTCTTCCCACGAGTATATACGGAGCATCATCCCTGCCTCCGTTTTTCATTATGATGGCTCATTTATTCGTTCCATCAAATTAACCCCGAACGTATCCTCCGCAAATAATTTGAGCCAAGAAACTTGTTTATCTCCCTCGAGAGAGGGATCGATTTTATGGAATTTTTATACCCGTACACCGTAAGTCGCAGCGGTGTGTCGGTCAGTAAAGAAAGTGTATAGGTACTTTATTTTCCGGCCCGAAAACTTTTCGATGGACCGTAAATATCGGTCACGTACGCACACGCGCGTACCTTTGGTAGAGCAAATAAAATGACTTGAAACGTCGAAAAACGTCGAGCGAGTAAACACGACCGTGCGATAAGGCAAATCGAGAGAGAGAGAAAATCGGATAAGCGCCGCTGGGGCCGAGGAAATTCACTTACGTTGGGTCGAACGTTTTTGTACGGCTGGAAGAGAACGATGTAGACCTTCGGCGTGAAGAGACATCCCAGGGCCACGGTCGCCGATATATTGATGCACATGCACATGCTCGCTATCTGGACCTGCAAGTAGAATAAAAGACCGATCGATGCCACATTGTCACTTTTGTCGGTTATGTATATTATGTATATGCACACGCATACCGTGTTGACTTTTACGTGTAACGTAAGCCTATACGATAATTAATAAGAAAAAAATATTATCCAACGATTTTAATCACGTAGTTGTACGCAAACGAGTGTATCATAAACAAATTGAACCAACGATTCAGGAATCGCGTGTATTGAGATAAAGAGCTTTTGATGCGGTTAATTCACGAAAACGATAATATCCGTTCCGTGGGTGGGCGGTTCGAAAATCCATAAATTCATTCGAAGGTGTATAAATATAACGGGACGATTTCGGTAAAGATCGAGCGATTGTTTAATCGTTTGAGTTGTCACGTTATTAGCTGCCCGAATCGGGAGTATTTTTTTCCGCGACACTGATCCCGAGCTTTCGACGGCAAACAGAGCGTATGTGTGTACCAAACGCGTGTCCGTATCAACTCGACTGATTATTATTGTCTTTCATGTATACACGCGCGAAAAGTTTCGATTGCCCAACGTTCAACCTTTCGGATGAAATTCAGTAGTATAAACAAGCATAACGATAATGACAAAAATAAATAAAGTAATGGTAGTGATAAAAATACAAATTGCTTGGAAAGAGGGGAAATATAAAGCATAGGAACACCATGTCTGAAATATCGATGGGTACATTCCCGTTATCGAGCTTTACCTCTCATGTTTTCTACCATTATATAGCGCCAAAGTTGTTCCAGAACAATAGCAAGCGCTTCTGCTATTGTACGTGCTTCTCATTTTATGCACCCCAGTCCCCCTTTCACTTCCATCGACACAATGCTCCGAGCATTTGAATTTTCATAACACATTTTTACAGCGACGACAACGCTACCGAATATTTACCGGCACTTTGGGTTTTTTGTCGCAATGCCCCATCCCATACAATCGTCCAGTGATTACGCGGACATTTGCCGAACAGCCATTAATTTTAACAGGCACCGACAATGTGCTTTTCTATCGCGCATCCCGAATGAGCCGAGTTTTCGATGATCGTTGCACGAGTAATTGGCAGAAAATCGCGAATGCCAATTTACGAGATTCCACGAGTCGCGCAAACTAAGCTTTGCGATCGACAAGTTGTACGATTGAATTGGAAAAAAAGAGCTTTGTACCGCCATTTCATACTCATAGATACGATTTTCGTCGACGGTGAAAAAATAAAATAAAACGAAATAAAAAAAGCGACGGTGATGGGCTGGATTGACTGATGCGTTTTAGATTTTTCGGAATGGAAAATGCGTGTTTCTCCTATGATGAAAATTGACGGCTCGACAGCCGCGTCGCTCGTCTTGGCGAGACTTAAATAAAAACATAAGCTCAGACGCGTCATCCGCGTCATTGCTTACACACATGTATAAAATTACCTTGTAATCGTTGTTGGTGCCAAAGTATATGGGTATAAAGGCGAGCCACACAATGCAGGTCGAGTACATGGTGAAGCCGATGTACTTGGCCTCGTTGAAGTTTTCCGGTATCTTGCGCGTCTTGAACGCGTACAGGGTGCACATGAGGATGAGCAGCATGTTGTACACGAGGGACATCATGAGGGCGAAGGTCGAGACGCGGCAGGTGAGCACCGCCGTCAGTGGATACGGGTAGATCTCGCTCGTGTTCGGCGGCTCGATTATCAGCCAGATTATTGCTCCCACCAGCTGGACCGATGTTATCCCTGTTTTGCCCCAATCGTGGATACATTTATCATTATGTGTTTATGCCAACAAAGACAAAAAAACCTATGCTCTTTGTATCCAAAATATGTTTCTCTCCACGGGCACCGAGTAAAGGTTTCTCATCTCGTTTTCCACTTAATCGGATATTATTAGACTTTTTGCTCCACTGATGAAGCGTACAGTCTTTTTTTCCGTCTCTTTGTTGTTTTTATAATTATTTATTATTAATGAGCTAATTAAATTTTTTCATCACAACCAATTAAATCGATTAAATCTTCCAGTTACGTAAAAAACGACTCCAACGATCCTTCGACGAGCTTTTCATTCGATATGGAATAAAAAAGAATTAAAAAAAAAATACTGCCTACGTTAAGAGAAAAAATATTATCCACGCTTTATCCTCACGACAAGGGGTCGAGTAATTAGTTCACTCGTTTGGTGAAGCAGAGTACTTAATTTTCGATCCTTTTGATGAATCCATATCACCCAAAGGATCGAAAATGAAAATAATCGATGATGATTCATACAAGAGGCGGGGTAAATCAATAATTATGGGTGAACGATGTATATGCAATATTGTACGCTCGACTCACCGACGGATATGGCAACTTGGCTCTTGGGCGAGGTGTAGGAGGGCCGTTTGATGCTCTTCCTTCCCTGATTGAAGATCCTCGAGATTCGATTGGTCTTGGTAAGTATGGCGCTGTAGCAGAGACTGAGACAGAGCCCAAGGCCGATCCTCAGAGCCGTGCAGTTCCACTTTGACGGCATCCCCAGGATCACGAAGCTCATGAGGTAGCACGACAGGATGCCGGCCAACAGGACGTAGCAGAGCTCGCGGCCCGAGGCCATGATCACGGGCGTCCGGTTGAACCTGACGTTTTATCTCGTCGCGTTACACTATTTTTTTTTTTTTTTTTTTTACCATAGTCCACACCCTCTCCCCAGCTTTACACGGTAAATTAACTTGTGTACGTAGGAATGAAAAGTCGAGTCGAAGCGAGCATGAGGGCAAAAAGGACACGCGCTCGTTTCATCAAAATAATGACACCGATGGTCGGGCGACATGATGAGGGAAGAACACGGACGTGGGTGGATTTGCCCGGGCAACCGAAGCGTGGGTCGCATATATACACACGGGCGGAGTTTCCACCGGTATATATACAAGCTGCCCGCTTCGTATTAATCTTGCAGAGCCGCGTCACGTGAGTGTGTATTGTACTCGTTACACGGATACGTAATTACTCGCCAGCGAGTAGATACAGCAACAACGGTATAGCGGCATTAATTTCAATTATCCTGGAGAAAGCAGCGTTTTGTTATTATCATTGCCGTTCAATCGGACGGAAAGCGCGATCGATAAATAGTTAATTGATACACACAATCATAAGCCCGAGCACATGGATTCATAATAAATACTACACGCCTACACGGAGAACGGGAATATATAAGCGAGAGTTGAGGGGGATTTGGGGTGCCAGTAGAAACGGGGCGTTATGGTCAGACGTCCGGTACGACGTATGGCTATACTACTTACTACCTATCCACTATCGAGGGGAGCAGGGGAGGGCTGATGTACGGTGCGTATGGGCATCGTCAAATAGCTCGATGGGCAATAACTTTCTTCCTCTTATGTGGGTGGATTGTAACGCTTGCGAGAACGTAACAGTTTATTGACACGTTTTCCCTCTACTCGTTGTACATCAGCACTGCTCCCTCCGACATAATAAACATATTGACTCGACCCGGGGGAGCAAGTGATGGATGCATTATTAATTTACAGCTTACATTTTTTTTTTTAAATATGTATGCGGTGTGGTCTACATCCGGTGAAATGTTAAGGAGGAAAAAATTCTCACCAAATGAAGACGATGGTGGTGAAGATGGTGCAGAGTATGCCGAAGGAGGCGAAGCCCAGGGGTGCTAGCGCCCAGGGGCTCGTCCACGAGATGACCTCTGCCTTGAGCTTAATGCACCGGCTCTTGGTTTCGTCGGGAGCATAGCCTGGCGCGCACTGGTGGCACGAGTCGTTGAACACGTAGGCGTCCTCCCGGCAAGCGACGCAGCTCCAGCAGCAGGGCTCCTGTTTGCGGTACACACACACACACACACATGTAGACGTAACTCGTCTGGCAACGCATTCCCGGTCGAGAGGGCTTTTCTCCTCAGCTCCATTATCCGCCCACTTGGCTTATTTATTTCTCGGGTTTACTCTTTTTCGGCCCACCTCTCGGAAAATAAGGGGCTCGCCGGGAAAAACACCCTCTCCGATATAATTCACCGCCGGGTTGCGTGCGGCAGTGGGTATACGGATGGGCCATCGTGTTTGTACGGATACTCGCTCGTCCGGTCGTACAATGTACTCCGCTGATGATTTTTGCTTTTGGGTATAGAAAAAAAAAAAAAAAAAAA